CATGTGTAGTTGGAATCAGAATAAGATAGTAAATGCCCTTTTTGAGAGAGGTTGCGAATGGCGCTTTAAACTTCCGAGGTCTAGTCAACGAGACGGTGTATGGGAACGCATCATAAAGTCGATAAGAAGAATTCTGCGATCACTATGGTTTCAGAAGGTATTGATGGATGAGTCTTCGAGAGACTTAGTGTTATTAAACAATGTTGGCTCACTGAGAAGTCTATGGTCCAAAGCTATTGTCGAACAAGTAATCTATGGCTTTGACGGACGAGTCCGTACGGTAAAATTGAGAACCTCAAACGAAGAAACTGCTCGGAACGTACGACGCTTATGTTTACTAGAAGGAGCCGGCTGTCTGACGGCGACGACGACCCTGGACAACGGACGTGGTGCGTGTTTCGGGAGGAGTGTGAAATGTGATTGATAGACGAACCCACCAATAATAAGGGAAACGCTCACCACCACATCAACTCCTTTTGACCTTGTACGACTGTATCTCTTTATTAACCAATCACAGTTTAATGTTCATTGTAAAACAATTTTGGCTTGTTGACTCATTTTTCCTATTCTCTAGCTACTGTTCGGTATGTTATTTGTCTCTGTTTTTCTCTGTAATAATAGACCGTACTGTTTGTTTGTACGCTAACGATGTTAATTTATGTTTTAGAAACAGATGAAGTTTATATAGCCAAATAGCTTACTTGTTCTGACTTTGGCTAAACCAAGACTCTGTACTCGACAGTCTAGAGATTAGCTTAGAGTTGAATCTGTAGGAAATTGCTTCCTACACACCAGTTACAGGATTAAATGCACAATCGCCACTGGTAAGTGTGTAATTAAATATTCAGAATCTAGATGTTTTTGATAGGAAGTATTTAATTTGTTATTTCAGAACATAGTGTCAGTAAGGCTTTATAACCGTTTTGCGACTTGAAAAGAAACCTATTTTTAAAGAAAGCGTCATCACATGGTCAGTATTAATTCAGAAAGTGATGCAAATAATGGTAAGAAAGCAACGTCTTGAGAAATTTTGTAGATATTCATCGCTCTATTGAATCATAACCAAGAATTGTTGGCTTTTTCGTCCTGTAATATATACAGAGATTAGGCGGGGCCTACCAGTGATTCAAAATAGTTCTTTGATACGTTTGCTGAGATTATGGGAAGTACGTCCTTTGCACAAACTTTAATTGGATCGTAACCACAATCCTCAAAGCTGAACATGAAATAACTAGGAAAATAGATATATAACATTTAAAGCGGTGAAAAATCGAACAATGGAAGAAGCGGAAAAACGAATTCAGCTAATCGGGTGGCATGGCTCAGCCTTGCAGGCGTGGTCTTTCTTGTGTGACCTATCTCTTTTATTCATATTAACTATATTGTTCTACCTCCAGCCTAAATGTGTTCTCCATCATATATTGGTGATTGTTGCTACACGATGAGTCGCTGTAGACAATGATATGACTTCCACTTAAGATCTTCGAGATTATACAGTTACATCATGACAAATCTACAATTTCGGGGTTACGTCTGTTACTGGAGCATTACTAATAACGAAGTAGACCATAATTGTACAGTACAAGTAAGGACAGTTAGTACAACGCAGAGACATGCCATCGATATATTATCTTATTTTCACTCTCGCTCAAGACTTTTCGTTAAGAACTAAATGTGACGAAGAATAGTGTCCTTGGTTATGACCTTCAACCGCTGGTCAAGGCATACATACGTTGCATAATGCAGACGGAATATGATGAACAGTATTGTTTGTCCCATGTTTATCGTATAGCTTAAACTATTATTTAAGAGTGACTTCACAACTGGACAGAGGGTTTGTAGTATATTTAGCAGGAAGTTAGTATTGATATATTAATAAAATATATATTCCAGCCTAGGAAGGAACACTCCACTGTTTCAGGTATGGTTTGTCTACATTATGCCTCCCAAGTGTGGTTGCTAAATAAATGAAATAATTAAAAATAAAAGCAGTACATTATGGCACAAGTCTCAGAGCGTTAATGTTTAGGGTATGTCTTAGTATTGCGCTGAATTCGGAAATGGCATCGCGTCCACATTGCACAACAGGTTCAAACTCGGCACTATTGTGTTAGAATTCTAGTCGTGCTATGCATTTATGCCATACAACTTTTGAATTTACAGCTGAGTTTAAGTAAATTTATAAAGCACTTGGTGTGGACTGTACCCTTGAAAAAAACGCGCTCGTCAACGTTGCTTCAGGAGATGGTTATTCGATAAACACATGCAAGCTGTGACTCCTAAATGGCATGAGGTGGCTCTTGAAAACTTCACTGACAACTACATGGAGTGGTCTAGTCGTAAAATGAAGAGGCAGCTGTTGACACGTGGTGTGTATAACGGTGTATTGACGAAATGTAACAATAACGAGGAAAAAAAGGTGACGAAGTGATCTGATGGACCATGATTTCACCTCCAGATGTCCTGCCGAGCTTGCTTGTTCTATTCGGTGTCTAGTGCAGTACTCTTTGGAAGAGGATCTTCGCGCAATATTGTGAATTCATTATATTAGGACATAATTCATCCACCACGAAACGGGGGTCGGTTATTTTATTCCTAAGATTACAGACATTTGTGCGGCACATACTTATGATATTTTAAGAATCACCCGTTCTTCCCATATAAGTATTGGAAGCGTTCGTTTTCAAGACCTAAGACTCATCAAACACTTTCACGACAATACAGGAAAAATTTGTATACAAGTTGAACTCACGGGGTTGTCTCACTTATGGTTTGTCTACATTATGCCTCCCAAGTGTGGTTGCTAAATAAATGAAATAATTAAAAATAAAAGCAGTACATTATGGCACAAGTCTCAGAGCGTTAATGTTTAGGGTATGTCTTAGTATTGCGCTGAATTCGGAAATGGCATCGCGTCCACATTGCACAACAGGTTCAAACTCGGCACTATTGTGTTAGAATTCTAGTCGTGCTATGCATTTATGCCATACAACTTTTGAATTTACAGCTGAGTTTAAGTAAATTTATAAAGCACTTGGTGTGGACTGTACCCTTGAAAAAAACGCGCTCGTCAACGTTGCTTCAGGAGATGGTTATTCGATAAACACATGCAAGCTGTGACTCCTAAATGGCATGAGGTGGCTCTTGAAAACTTCACTGACAACTACATGGAGTGGTCTAGTCGTAAAATGAAGAGGCAGCTGTTGACACGTGGTGTGTATAACGGTGTATTGACGAAATGTAACAATAACGAGGAAAAAAAGGTGACGAAGTGATCTGATGGACCATGATTTCACCTCCAGATGTCCTGCCGAGCTTGCTTGTTCTATTCGGTGTCTAGTGCAGTACTCTTTGGAAGAGGATCTTCGCGCAATATTGTGAATTCATTATATTAGGACATAATTCATCCACCACGAAACGGGGGTCGGTTATTTTATTCCTAAGATTACAGACATTTGTGCGGCACATACTTATGATATTTTAAGAATCACCCGTTCTTCCCATATAAGTATTGGAAGCGTTCGTTTTCAAGACCTAAGACTCATCAAACACTTTCACGACAATACAGGAAAAATTTGTATACAAGTTGAACTCACGGGGTTGTCTCACTTATTAGCTTGGCTAAAGACACCCTTGCCTAAAATCTCTCGGTTAAACATCCATATCAGATCATGTCCAGGTACTCCAGGAGATAACTAGTCAATTTAGATTGTATGTACCTCAATCTGCCGATCACCGCCCAAATATGTCTTCGAGTTCCTCAGTTCTTGATATGTGATGTGACCGACTTAGAGGAACTCTGTTTAGGAAGAGGTTTCGGATGACAATGCGTTTATCCATGTTTATCTTCATATTTTGATTAAGAGGTTCGATTTACCGTTTATGATATTGAGGCTGCTGGTTTACAGTGTTTGTGTGCCGAGACATATAGTTAAGTTGCACTTTGTACCCATAGGAAGCTAATAGCTAAAGCCAGATAGGGAGTTAAAAGGATTTCTGGGGAGCTTCACAGGGTTTTCGTTCGATTTCAGCATCAAGAGTGTAGTTTCTCAGCTAGTTTTCAACTTCAGGTGTCAATCTAACTATCGGTTGTGAATTAAAAAGTGTTAGTAGAGTCTGATGCAAAACGTGTTTATTGCTAGACTGTTGCAGTGATCGATGACTTCGTTATAAAGTTGGGAAACCCATCACAGATTGTGGAGTTTTGGCAATTGACTGTCAAAAGCAACCAAACCAATCCAGTGAGTTTTTTAAAAACAAGAACAACCTGAGCTTGATGAGTCACTTTAGAAAGAAAAGTTATCAAAAAGGCTCATATCGAATGCTCGTTGACCAATAACCTTATTCACTCTTGACAACTTTATTGTAGCCAAACTTTGTCTAGACACGACATTACGGAACAGTCTATCTGACCACTATTAGGCCGTTGGATTACCTCTTTCTATGATGGCCGTGATAAGTTTTACCGTTCGTGCATTTCGATAATGAACAGATTGTGGCGTACCTTCTCAGCTAGAGTGACGATAATCTCATTTCCACGAGTAGCTGAGTGCCTGTATTAATCACGTTGTATTTTCAAAACTCTAACTGTAGGAAATAAAGCTGTACATTTATGCTACATGAAGAAGCTGCACGGTGTAGGTTTCGAGGGTCTAAGATGGGATTAGTTTAGGAATATGTTCGTTAATGATGTGATTACAAAATCACATAGAAACGTAAAGTATCAGAATAAGCAGGGTATGCACGGACACACACATACCGAAACAAAGAAAAACCTGACAGAACTCTTCTAAATCACCATATCACCATATCTAATAGGACGATAGAACAGTACCATATTTTTCTAGTTGTGTCACTTTTCGTTTGTACAAAAAAATCTGCCTCAATAAAAAATAAAAAAGTTAACAAATGCTCCTTAGTCTACCTTACTATCATGAGTGCGATTGAAATCATTCGGATCAATCTTATCTTGTCTTAAGATGTTGGAACTTGAGTGACCTTGTCGTTTTTGATCGGAAGTTGGACGCGTCATTATGGCTGTTGGTTGCCTTATAAATTCTAAATTAAGGTCTTTTTCATTACAGGACGACATTTTAGACTTTGAAAGTAAGAAAAAGAAGAAGTCAAAGCCTCTTGTGCATGATTTTAAAGATGAACCCGGTAATCTGGGGAACCAAGATATTCTGGACTTTGGTTCAAAAAAAAAGAAAAAGGACAAACTCTTAAGCTTGGACGACGTGGATAACAAAGAGGACGTAAGTAATATCCCTACATACTTCATTTGCAGTCACGTCAGGAACCGGAATTTCATAAGAAGGACCCAACAGAAAACGGCGTTAAGCAACTTACTGAAAAACTAACAGATGAGCTCACTTTCTCAGACAAAAAGAAAAAAAAGAAATTCAGACCGATTGAAGTAGATGAAAATGGGGTTTGCGAGCCAAACAGTATGTCTGAACTTATCGTCAGGGATTCATCGGGCTATGATTATGAAACGGTAAGTGTCTACTGCTGTCTTCCTACTAATCTGAGTGTGAGTTTGGTGCCTTATGAAAATGATGTCAACTTGATTATGTCTTTTCGCGAAGTGAAACCCTTGAATTACCTAAACAATAGTGCGAACATCAGCTTTCCTGCAAGTTCACCCACTTTATGAGTGGTACGTCTGTCGCCTGCTATAAAACCCCGTTTCTAGATGGCTTGTAGGGATAACCTCAATATGACTATCTTGCGTCAAAACGGCAACACAGCACGTCTACTTGTCGGAACTTATAGACCATAGCAGTATATAGCTTTAGCGTATATTGTGATTTGTAGACCTCAAATTCTTCTTGGGATATTAAGTTTCGACAAATTTCCCACTTGAAGAACATTCGGAATTACTTAGTGATTCGTACCAGACGGAAAATTCATAGTAGAGTAACTGAAACAAATGATCCTGCTAAACGTTATTAAGTGATAATAACAATTCTCTGTCTCCTTAAAGTAATGGAGTGCACAGTTTTAATGAGTTGATCGGTTAAAACTGGGGTCTGAGAGTGTAGCAATTGATCTGATGTGTAAACGTCTGGTAGAAGTTAAAGAATAAATTAACGGGTCCGCGCGCATGCTTTTGGGGTACAGATTGTGCCATGATGATACTGCGAAGTTACCTAAACGATTGTTAACAATGATCCTTTTACCTAGGGATGGAATGCCACTCTTAACGCATTCTATTAGACCATTTCAATTACCCTAACATATGCTCTACACTTTTAATGCTTAATGTTTCTAGTGTGTATCTTATTTACATCCAAGAAAATATACCTCAATAGTGAATGTTTGGATTTGCTGATACTATTCTCTGTATCTCAGACTTTTCTGGCAGGGCTTACTCTGTTTTGTCCTATGTTGGACGGCTGACGGTTTATATTGATTTATCTTCACAGGACTAGCCTTTTTCGCACATTTTTGAAATACCTGTTAAATGGAAACCGAGTAGCAATGATCCATTATATTTTCCATATCAAAAACAGCTTGTAATATTTGCAAAGAATAAGCTATAAAGTAGCTGGTGTAACAGGTTCTTACTTTCGAGATTGAGTCTGAATTGTTACTATCCCAGTGGTATTTCTCAAACTCTATGTGGTTAGAACTAGGTGTATTTATTATTATTATTATTTTCATTTGAACACAAATATTGGTAAAAAGCGGCACCAAATGTATGTGCGCCATACAAAACACTGAAAATTCGAAAAGAAAAAAAGAGCAATGGCGAACAGATTAGTGTAAGGTAGTGTAATAATAATGATAGTAATAATGGGGGAACAGAAAGGTACAATCAGAAGGAATCGTTTAGTTAAGGAAGATACAACCACTGCTTATGAAGAAAGTAAAAGGTTACAGCAGGATCGCCGCTGGCTTCTATTCCGAACCATATCTGATATCGTCTCTAACCACTGTGTAGCACCATCTCTCGGACCCCAACCAGGGAATCAAGAAGGACCAACAGAAGCCAGCCCTTTGCAGCTTTCTTTCATACCCCGACACTATGTCGTAAACTGACCACCTCCGCTTTTTCCAACCAGTCCCAGAGTCGGCAAATAATGCACGACGTGGAATTCTCTGGGACGACATTCGTAGAACATGTCCAAGCCACCGAAGTCGGTGTTTCAAGATGGTGACACCGATTGCATTATCGTCTCTGTGTCCGAACACACGATGCCGAACCTCTGCATAACTAAAATGATGTTGCCACTGGATGTCAGCGATCCTTCGGAGACAACGATGATCAAACACAGAGAGTCGTCTAATATCCGTAACTTGGAGAGGTCAGGTTTCACAAGCATAGAGCAAGACTGCTGTCACCGACGCGTTGTAGATCCGACCTTTTACAGCCAGACTAACATCACGAAGGCGCCAAAGATGGCCCATATTTGAATAAGCCGCTCTGGCTTTCACTATTCCTGAATTGATCTCTTCATTCGTGCCACCACCAGCACTTATGCAGCTACCTAGATACACGAACTTCTCGACTACTTTTATCTGTTCACCATCCAGAGTGAGTACAGAATTAGAATCCTGCCAGTCTTGTAAAAGTACTTTGCATTTAGAAGGTGCAAAGCACATACCGTACCTACGGACACTGATTGCCAACTGATTAAGCGCAGTCCTGTCCAACGAATCGAACGCAGCCCTGAAGTCAAGAAACACTGCAATTGTTAGCCTTTGATAAGTACGACGGTGTACTAACATTTGGCAGAGTCAGTCAGTCAGCTACAACGTAGCACCAGGCATATATATGCATAAGTCCAAGTTGCCATACCTCACTAACACAACAAGATGAACAATGGATTCATAGGAGTAGTTAAGTCAATGCTGGGAATATATAAAAGAAAGATTGCAATAAGGATATAGTACAGGAAGAAATAATTAGTTCATAGAAAGAAAGATAACCTCACTATTACTTACCCTGTGATCCCAGCAGACGCCAGCAATATTTCTAAGGCATCTGTGGTCAAATACTAGAAGCTTACGAGTATCTTCTACTCTTAATGGCCACGTTTCACAGCCGTAGAGTAGAACAGAACGGACTGCCGCTCAGTATACTCGTTCATTAATTGATAGACGGCTATCTCGCCTTCACCATAGGTGACGTAGGTTGGCAAAAGCCAGACGAGTTTTTCGGATCCGTGCTGATATTTCGTCAGACACCAACCCACTACGGCTGATCAGACTTCCAAAATAAGTGAAGTTGTTGACACCTCCGACCACTTCACTCTCTTTCCTTAGTTCAGGTGTTGACGCAGGCAAGTTCTGAAGCAACAACGTGCATTTGGAGGGGAGAAGCGCATCCCAAACATCCTGGCATTGTCGCTCGGTGCTACCAGAAGACTGCATTTTATCAGCATCCTCACCAAACAGGACTATGTCATCTGCATATTCTAAGTCGATAAGTGGACCTCCTGGAAGAAGACCGATTCCTGAAAATTCAGATGACGAGGACGTTATTCCCAGCGGTAGGCCTACGATGAAATTGAACAGGAATGGAGAAGTTGCAAAATCGCACTTCTGAGGTACATATTTCAATGACAGATACTGCCACAGAACTTCTCGGTCTCTAGAGTCAAATGCTGCTTTCAAGTCAAGAAAGACCACCATTGTCGGACGCCGATAAGTATGCCTGTGTTCTAGAACTTGACGAATGGTGAATATGTGGTCGATGCAGCCACGATCAGGTCTGAAGCCAGCTTGATTCTCTCGTGTGTGCAGTTCACGAATCTTAGTTAAGCGTCCGATGATTATTGATGCTAGTATTTTAGGTGCTATATTAGTCAAACTAATCCCTCTATGGTTATCACAGGATGATTTTGATCCATTCTTATATATTGGGACAATCAGTGATTGTGACCAGTCAGGTGGGATTACGTCCAACTCTCATATTTTAGCTAAAATATTAGTCAACCTAATCGCTAAAATTGGACCACCATCCTTAAAGACTTCTGGTGGCAATCCATCGGGATCAGCTGCCCTTCCTCGTTTCAGATTAACTATAACCTCTTGAACTTCAGCCAGAGTTGGGGGACCTACTTCAATGTTTTATTCACACTGTCTGGGAATGGTAGAGCAGCTGAACTGTTCTCTAAAATGTTCCGCCCATCGTTCTAAACGTCTGGTCTGAGAACAGATAAGAGTGTCGTCTTTTTTCGAAATACTCTGACTTACATTTGACTTATTAATTCCAGTTTCTTTTATTGGTCTGTAGAGCTGTGTTATTTTACCTATAGTCGCCGCCGCTTTTGTTGCCCACCACTGCTCACGGTCGTTCCTTAGACTTTTGGCTAACCTAGATCTGATTTGTTTACGCTCTTCATTGTGTTTAGAACCTGATGGTATGAATTTACGAGAATCCATCAGTGCAATAGACCTTGAAGAAATCCATTGGTTCTTTGTAACCCTGTGGTTTAAATTACTGATAGATGCCACTACTGTTTCCACAGCTGCCTGTATATCTCTCCAAGCTACATCTGGGTCAGCCTCGTTTTCAGAACTACTTAAGTGTAACCTTGTTCGTTCCTGTAACCTACTTTTGGTTTTCTCGCTACTCAATCCAGTTCTAATGGGTCTTTTTAGCGTGGCTGTTTTGCGTTCAGTGAGACGCAAGCAGATGCGTGCTCGTATTAGGGCATGGTCTGGGTCCAAGTAGGTACTCCAGAATGGGCGACAATCTTCTACCGACCCTCTCCAACGATGACTGATGACAATATGGTCTATTTGAGTCCATCGTTGGTTTTGTATAGGGGGTCACCATGTTAAACAATGTCTCTCCTTCTGTTTAAAATTTGTGTTTGCTAAAAATAAACGATTGCCTGAGCACAGTTGCAGCAGACGATAACCATTAGCTATTCGTTGTGCCGGAATACCAAAATACACACTTAAATGTCTTTCTGTTTGGTTTAAACTACCGATCTGGGCATTCAAGTCACCTGCTACGAGTACTATGTCTGAACGTTTAGCTTTCTGAAGAAGTTCAGATAGCTTTCTGTAAAATTCATCTGAGCTGCAGTCGGTGGGTGCGTAGGCAGAAACAACGACGTGTGTCCCTATCCTTCCGAGTTCTTACGTAGCTGTTTAGCCGAACAGCACATGAACGACTGTTAACGGGGATCCACTCTGACAGTGCTTGTTCCAGTCAGTCAGTCAGTAACAACGTAGAACTTCGTACGTACGCACATCAGTTCGAGTTGCCACACCACATTAGCATAGAGATGCAGTGGTCGATTCAAATCCCGTAGTAGTAGAGGTAATAAGAGTATAAGCAGTAATCGGGAAGATTAGTGTTTGGAGATGATACTTAAAGAGTATAATACAGTGAAATAAATTTGAGAGGAGAAAAAAAGAGACAAGGAGGAATAATGAGATCAAAATTTGGTAGAACACAAAGAGTGGATGCACCTGTGCCATTGCAAACGATTTTGAGCCATGTCATTCAGGGTCTCTAACCATCGGTTGCTATCA